TTTCATTTATCAGTCAAACGCACCGGATATATTTTATAATGTTAATTTTTAATATATTTTGGCACAAATATGCGTAGCTGATTGCTTTTTGTTTTTCATTGTATTTACTTTTCTTTACAAGAACAATGCAATTTTACAGCTGTCAAAATCTAGCAATATTTTTCAATTCAACGAAGTTTCTAAAAAGTTAGAAATTTAGATACACATATTTTTAAAAAGTCTTTATGAGCAAGTAAAGGAAATTTTTTTTTAATTCTCTTTATATATTTGCATTTGTTAAACATTACATTTAAAAGGAAAAATCTGTCAAAATTTCTAAATTAAATGAGAGGGTCTGTTTTTAACCATAGCTCCCGATAATAATAATAAAAAGTCTAAAATCAATCTGTTAAAGTAGAAGAAAAGCAATACAACATTTTTTCTTTGTGATTATATTGTTCTATAGAAATTTTTTAATAACTTTTTTTCTTTTTTTTGCATTTCGATGCAGATCATTGTATATCATCTTTATTCGTATCTTATATATGTCTAGATTAATCAACACAAATGAAATTTTTGAGTCAAACGCACGGAGAATATTTTTCCATTTTAATTTTTCATATTATTGCGTGCAAATATGCGGAGCTAATTATTTTATGATGACACTCCTTTAGAATATTAGGTTCTAAAGGCTTAGTTTTTGTGGTGCAAATTTATGAAATTAATTTCTAAAATGTGCTTTGTGCTGTCAAAGTTTTAATGTTGTACCTTTAGGAATAAATTAAAATCCGACGGCGCAAGGTAAGGTGAGTATGGCGGGCGGGTCAATATCTCCTACCCTCCGCACAATTCATAAATTTGTTTCAGGACTTAGCCTTCCTATAAGTCGGTATATCAAAAATACCTGATTTTTAACTTAAAAAAACACCTTTGGTTTTCACGAACTTCAATTACGCTTGGTTAACATCGCAAATGTTTTGGTAGCAAACTGTCTTGTTACTGTTCTTGTGAAATTAAAAAAGCATACATTGCTAATTATTGGGCTTTGGCTGCCAACTGCCCCATAATTTTCAATAGAAAAAAATTGTAAGCCTCCAACTTTAATACATTTTTGGTTCATCTTTGAGGTACACAATAATCTGATAAATGAAATACGAATTTCGAAATGCTTAAAAAAAAAAGCATTTTAGATCACAATTTTAAAAATAACATGAAGAACTATTATGCACATTGTTTTTTTCTGAAAAAAAATATTTTAAAAGAAAATGATTAGTTTTATTTTTAATTGTAAACATTGCTGAGCATTAAAGTATGAATATTTTATACACAGAATAAATAAAAAATTTAAAATTTTATAAAAATTGTTTAGAAGAATTGTAGTAATTATACGTATTTTTTGAAAAAAAAATTTGAACAGTAAAGTATGAATATTTCATATTCAAAATAAATTATGATTTGCTAAATCTATTGTGTAATATTTTCAGATTAATTCAACATTAAAAATATTTGTTTTTTAAACTCTTGAAATTTTTTAAAAGTCAACAAAAAAAAGAAATAATTTTTTTTATACTTATCAAATGATATCTACAAACAAATTCAAAATAATGCATGTCTTTTAAAAATACTTCAAAAATGTGCTCTGGTTCCCTCTATTAGCAGGGCACAGCAGCCTTAAATAACTATTGCGTTATAACATTAAAATATAACTGTCCATACCATACATATTATATTTAGTTGATTCTTTATCGTTTGAAAAAGCTTTGTCTATATTAATGTCTTTGTAGATTGAGTGCTAATTCCTTAATTTCTCTGGTTAGATCACTTGGACTCGTTTGATTTCTGAGAGAAGGAAAAAAAATAAAAATAAACATCTAGAAATCGAGTGCTTGTTTTTATTCGAGTTGGGGAGGGGATGCTGAATAAAGGAACATATCATGTCATTTTGGGTCGTTGACCTAAGATTAGGTGAAATTCTTCTCAATTCTAAACAACTTTCTGAAAGAAAACAAACTACACCTTTATGGAATCCTGTTTTTGTTCCTTCAGGTGTCGTTCATTAGTCTTGTAAAAAAAAATGTGGATTAAACTTACCCTGTCACGAGAATATGTCCCGGATGATAGTGCAAATGAATAGAAATGGAAAGTACCTCCTCAAATTAAAGCGTCGCGTCCTTGCTAGACTTTTTTTTTGTATACATATTCTTACCCTCTTCCCAAACCGGATTTCGACAGCTGCTTTGATTATTTGCTACCTATCTTGACCATTTAACAAAAAAATTCTTATTATTCTCTTCGTTACTTTTATGTTTAGAACTCAGAAAAAGTTCTCTTTTCTGTTTTTATTTATTTATTTTTTGACTGAATGCTGCAAAATTTTTATTAGTTAGCATTAAGGTTATTTTCCCTTAATATTGAACACTAAGAAAACTCAAAATATTTTAATACCTGTTAAATAGACATAGAGAAAATGTTAAATATTTTGGAAAATCTTGTTTCAGACAATATTAAAATAAGGAAAACTCTTACTTTTTCAATCAATAAAATATGGGAAAACATACTGTTTAATCAATGTTAAAATATTGGAAAACTTACTGTTTCAATCGGTATTAAAATATAGAAAATACTTATTGTTTCATTCAGTCTTAAAATAAAGGAAAATACTTACTGTTTTGATCAATGTTAAGAAAATTGAAAAACTGTTACTGTTTCATTCAATGTTAAATTATAGTAAAATTTACTGCTTCATTCAATGTTAAAATATAAGAAAACTTTTATTGTGTCATTCAATGTTAAAATATGAGAAAACTCTTTTTGCTTTAATGACTGTTAAAATTTAGAAGAACCTCTTATTGTTTTATTCAATATTAAAATATAGGAAAACTCTCACTGTTTCATTCATTGTCAAAAACTAGGAAAGCTCTTGCTGTTTCATTCAATGTTAAATTATAGGAAAACTCTCACTGTTTCAGTAGCAGAATTTCGTGAAAATCGTTTAATATGATAATATACTTATTATTGGTTTATACAAAACGTACAAACAACAATTGTTAATATACCAAATGTAACAATATTCTGATTACAAACGTTATAACTGTGATGTTCACCATTATCTGTTACCACTTGGAAGAGTGAAATCACATGTTCAGTGGTTCAAAGCAGCAAAGTAGTATACACGGGGAAATGTTGCGTTCATGGTGTGCTATGCTATCTTTTGCACATGTGGCGGAATCACGTGATGTTATATCCATGAAGTATCCTCAAAATTATAATACTATTCAAATTAGAAATTATTTTTTCATTACTATCAATATTTAATCAAATTAACTTTTCAGCACCTTGGGTTTTCATTTGAGGACAGTTGTTTTTCCTCAAAAGAATAAAAACTGGTATCACCATTTTTTATTCTTTTTCACATTATTGCATTTCTTTTTCACATCATTTCATTTCTTTTTCACATTATTTCATTATTAGCTTTAATCTTGAAAAAACAAAATATACTTGCCCACTATAAAATATCAGTAGTATATAGCTCCTAAATTGTATCCTTCATCATAGAATTGTAACTTTTTTTAAAATCTAAAGTGGTAGCTAATGTGATAAAATGTCATCTTTATCTAAATTTTTGCGTACCACCATTTTTTACATAACAGTATTTTTTTTTAACCTCATATCAATGTAAATGCCGGAGGTTAATCTATTAAAACAAACAGTTAACTAATAATGTCATATTAAGCAAAGTTATCTAAATTTTGCACTATCCTGAATTTTGTGAGAAAAAAAAACTGAGAGTCAAATATTGTTGAAAATATTTTTTTAAAAAAATCTTTAGCTTTAAAAATGTTAAATGATGAAAAAATTTATAGAAACAGTATAATAAAATATTTTATTCCTTCAAATTGTATCTATGATCATTGTGTTTTATCATGAAAGGTAATTATTTATAAGTAAAAGAAAAAAATCTGGTCAACTAAACGTGACGCGAAATGTGAATTTAATTTTACTGGACCTCAGAATTTTTTAATGGAAAATTATTTTACTGGAGCTACTCATAAAAAAAAGATAAACTTGAACCAACTAAACAAAACGTTTATTATAAGAAATCTTTTCATCTATTTCGTTACTAAGATAGTTACTTACTAAGCTTAATTTGCTACTTAATTTCTTAATTACTTGCTAAGTTACTTTGCTAAATTACTTGCTAAGCTTCATTACTTACTTGAGCTTAATTCGCTACTAAGCTTATTATTTCGTTACTAAGCTAGAAAATTTCTACTATACATTTTTATGAAAAAGTAGCTTCTAATTTCTGGGATGTAATTGGAAAGCAAAAGTTTGCAACGGAATGTTTATTATAAGGAAAATTCCCCTTATTTCATTATGCCTTTACAAATTTTTCATAAGTTTTTTCCCCGCAGTTTTAAATTTAGACACAAGGTCTTTAAGTATCGATAGCCTATATGTATTTAAGACTTCTTTTTAAACGCAAATTTTTTGAAACCAAAAATATTTGGGGTAAATGATATTTTGAAAACATAAAGTTTCATCTTAAAGTTTGTTTCTATCTATAATTAATTTTAAATGAGTGCAATGATGAACTGGTCTGAAACAAAATGGAAATCCTTACTAGTCCTATCTGTTATTAGTAAAAACTATTCAAATAATATCAAAACTATAGTAAATGTAATAAATAACCAATCGTTACGCATTAAAGTTTTTAAATTGATAAAGTTTAAAAAGTAGTTTTAGTACACAGTTTATAGGTGGAATTTTCTTCTAAATTTGAGATCTTGGGTGAAGTCAAGAAAAACGAAAGAGACTCTAACCACCATACCGGCTGGGTGGCAGCATGTCGTATATCAATGCTTTTTTTAAATCAAGATCAAATCAATTATTGCATCTATCATTTGCATCTTCACCTATAATTTTATTTTGCCCCTAATATAATTTATTCACCTATAATTCGCAGCTTCGAAAAATATTTGTAAATCATTTCTTAAGAAAGTTTATAATGCATCATCTATACTTTAATATTAAGCTGCTAAGTGAGAAAAAAATAGATTATCAGAAATCTAAGGAAAAATAAAGAAACACAGTTCAAAGATTTAAAAAACTATGCAATTCTCTTCAAATGATAATGATACATTCTAAATTCTTCAAACACCAATCTCACATATAACGAGACTTTAAATTCAGTAAATAGCTAACACTGTTACTCTAGACTAAAGTTCTGATGTATTCCTGTTGAGTATGGTCCAAATCATTGTTCTCAAGGTATTTGTTGCAGCAGACGTGATAGAGGGCGCAGCAACCCGTCTTGTGAGGCTTCGAAAAGAAACGGCATGTTTTTTTGCACAGGAGTTCGTCAATTTTCTTGAGCCACCCTTGACTGCTCACAATCTCGAACGCAGTGCTCATGAAAAGTAAGAGCGCAGTGAGTGCTGCAGCCTCTTTCATGCTATAAAAAGTAGACATGAAATAATAAAAATAATCATAAAAAAAACAATGTAATGAGCCCAAATAGAACTAATTAAAAGACAAACAATTGTTTTAATACCATAATTTAAGCCTGAAAGTTGATAAACCAACACCTTATTCTGTGTATTGGTATAGATGATTATCGTTGCTTATAGTGTTGAAATACCTGATAATACCTAATGGTTTTGATTTCTAAAAATCTTATAGCCATTTTAGCATGCATCTGGCCAACACCTTTTAGAAGAGAGAAGGCTTCAGCACTGATCACTTTAGTAGTCCGACGTAACGAACATAAACCGCGCAGTGGAGGCGAAATAAGAATGATGCCACTATGTTCGAGCTACTAAGCTGTGCAGTGGTGGTCAATACGAAAGATGTCTTTACGTTTTGACTACTAAATAATCAAATTTCTTGTTTATGGTAATCCGTGCTGAGGCCGTCCCTTTTCTTGGAGGTATAGATTTCATTTGAAATTAAGGTGAATAGCTGTGAAGAAAGAAATGCATCTAATATAGATCTTTGGAAGTCACTCATCATCACATTTTTATTCCTGCTTATTGTTACCTCTAACTTTTTTTCAGCTTGATTGATTTCAGTACAAATTATGGTTTATAACTCTTCAAAAGCTACATAAATTATTATTTAAAAATGGGTGGGCAATGAAGCAGAAAACAAAAGACATTACATGAATAATTCTATGTCTTTTTTTTTTATTTAATGAAAATAAAGTGAATATATAAAAATTTAGAATGCATTTGAAAACTTATTAAAGGGGTATATCTTTATAATTCAAAATGCTAAATTAGTCTAATTAAATTAAGGTTTTCAACCCGTGTCCCTTTTACGATTTTCCAATCCAGTGGCTTTCAATGATACTTCTCTCATTTCAACCATTTTTTTAAATATAGAAAAACATGATTTTTGAATTTGTTTTAGTTCCAGTAACAAATTTCAAAAGAAATGAAAGCTTGTATTACAATTTCGACCTACAACAACCAATAGGAAAATTTCCAAAAAAGAGAGCGAGTCATTAAAGACCGTTTGCATTGTGGTTTAGCGGTCCTTTTAAGCATTTTGACTGAATAACTGAAAAGCACTAAACCAGAAAACCCTTTAGAAGAGCTTTTTAATCATCATAAAAATCAGTTCAACATGGAATCATAAGCATCTCGACCTATAATTTGGCAAAATTCTGCTGTAAGGTGTGCAATTAAGGTGTTGAATTTAATCTTAAGTTAAAGCCTAAAATCGTGTAATCAAGGTTAAGATGTATGTTAATTCTGTCCTATTTAGCACCATATTACAGTTACAGCAAATATGACAGACATTGGTTCTGCATGCTCTAAACTCGTATCAGTGTAGAAAACCTAGACAGTCAAGGAAAGCAATGGAAGAATTACGAGAATATCCTTCAGTTTGTAATTTATTATTTATATATCATGCAATATGGTTCATCATCCTATTATCTCACTCCAATACGTTAGTTTTAAGACTCAAAATGTTTCACGGAGGAGGTGATATGCTGCAAATACTCTAACCAAGAGCATCAGATACATACTCTTCAGTCATTCAGTTTTGGAGATCTAGCTGGTCATTCAATTTTCTAAATATCTTCGGCTTCAATGCTTTCCCCGATCAATTAACAAAGTGTGGGCATGTGTTATGATCGGTAAAAATTAACTTAAGACTAAAAGTGCCTCTGAATAATCTTATATAGGGCTCTTATATCTTTGGCTCGTACTTCAGGAAAGT